TGCTGAGCAGGACAACTCGTCCATCTGGTGCGGCTTCGCTCGTCACGCCAGCCACCGTTGTACATTACGGTTGTCTTGCCACTTACCCGCGAGTTTGAGAAAGCATTCAGTTCAGGCCCTGAGCCAATTCGCATAATCGGCGACAGAACTGGCTGAGAATCGACTGCTCTTGCCCACTAGCGTTATCGGTAAAGCCGCGATTCGCTAGGAGGGGAGGCAGAGTCAGTCGATTCCCATCTAATCCTGTCCATTCTCCCGATATCACAATTTTCAGAAACCGTCTATCCTTGAAAACTGCAATTTCAGGAGATTGACACGTGTCTATTTCTTTGCCGCCAGTTCCGAATAATATAATCTTCCCAATTGCACACGTTTGTGAAGTATGAACGCGGTATCACCAACTCTTACCCGCGAACATTCCTCGGAGAACGTCGACTTCTTTGCCGCGTTCGTCGACTAATCGTCGGACATTTCGAAGTTCATCAGCTCGCTCTTCATCGCGAGCTTTCAGTACATCCAGAGTCGTCTTTATGTCCTTTAGAATATCGAGCAATGACGCCTGCAGAAGTGAAAATGTGTCCTTTGTTTAAAAAGCTGCGTTAGATGGTCAATCACCTCTTTGTTTTCGGTACTAGGCTCTTCGGGTTCGTTTTCTTTGTTTTCGGCGACTGTTTCGGTGGCCTTTGTCGACTGCATACTCTTATTCATTGCTTGTTTCTGCTTCGAAAGTCTTGATGTACCCTGCAAATTGGAAGCTGCAACTAATGGAAGCAGTAGGCACGATTGCTGGAAGTAGGCGGTTATTGCCAGCGTCACTGGCAGGAGGGCTGGGAGAGGTCGTTTAGGCGACACCCTCACTCAGCCCTTCCACCAATGACGTTGGCGACAACTGCCCATCCCCAGCAGTCGTGCCCTTCCCCTTTGAACCGCAAAATTACAAAATAGAGTACCTCGATGGTTTGTGAGACGTTCACTGTATGTCCAAATGCAACTGTTTTCTTCTTCAGATTAAGTCTAGCTGGTACCACAGGTTGAGTAGGTTTAGTTAAACAAGATTTCCGTGGGCGATTCGCGTGACTGTCCTCGTTATTTCTACCAAGCGGTGCCTTAGTTGGCTTTGACACCACTAAATCAGTTTGTGTGGTGCAAGACGATGCAGTCTCCGATGTCGTGCGGACCCTGGTAGAACGTTCTGTCACTGGAGATGGAGGAGGTGATGAAGAGGCAACTACTGGAGTGTTCGTCGGACGATGTGGTACGCTAAATCAGAGGAATTTCGTTGAAAAAAGGATCTGTTTCTAAGGAGTAACAAGGCCAAACTGACCAGGATCGCCTTGCGCTCACACCTTCTAGAGGAGCAATATATGGTAAAGGATCAGCCGGTTCAATCAAAGGGGCTCGCGACAGACCAGCTGGAAAGTCACGTCAAAGAATAATCGAAACAGTTTGCTGTCCGCGGACGCTGGGATGTTTCGGGAGGGGGGGGGGTGTATATGGATTTGAAGACAGCTTTCGTGGTCGTTTTCCTTGTGCAAGTAGTCCAGCCCCAAGCTAAGAGACTGTCCCACTCTCGCGACTCCACAGCGAGCGAGGAGCGTGCTACAGCCGCTGAAAGTTCCAGTTCTAAGCCTGCTCAGTTGGACCGCCCACTTCCTAGATGCCCTTTGACGGAGAGCCGCTCAGGTTTCTTTGTTTGGGTGGTGGGCATTAATCGGAAGTGCGTGTTGTTTTTGCTAACCGCGCTCCTGCCCATAAGTAATTCTGCTCTCCTTCATTACATTTTATTCATTAGGAGCACATACAGTCAACTGCAACCATCTCGCAAGGTAAAACGCGTAAAAATCACGAGTGATGCGATTTTCTTGGTGCAAAAGCTCAACGCACTAGAAGTTGCACGCTATCGTAACCCTAAATTTGTACCCCCAGTTTTTGAAATTACTTTTTGTTAAGAGTTTTCCGTCGATGTTTTTGTTTTTCTTTTCATTGGATGATATCAACTACTGGGAGATGCGAAAAAGCGATTTGTGAGCCAGGGGATGCACAGGCGGTGTGACTGTCAGGGAGCGACTTGTTCATCGTTCTTGAGGACCCTTCTTCATCTATCCATGGTACTTTATCGCGGGAACTGTCTTTAACGTGGCGCTGAGTAATCCTCCACCAATTGTGGAAGCTGGCAAAAGATTACAGTCGATGGAGAACAGGCTAGCACAGCGCCAAACCCAGCCCTCCTCCACTGACAACATCCAGCATCCGCAGCGAACAAAACTGTAACTCGATACATGAATAAACTTAAAAATGAAAGCGAAATCCTCAAACAGAACTTACGCGGTACCACGTAGGAAATCAATGAACACCTAGGGCCATCATCGGCACCATTCATTACCCGATCCACGAAGTGCTAAAAATGTAAGCCTAACCCTTTCAACGATTAACTGTAAGAAAATCATAGAGGAACTTCGGGCAGTTCATTAGATTCCTATAAAAGTCAAGCTGTCCTCGAAAAAAAGTTAAAAAAGTTAAAGTGGTGGCTTAGGATCTCAGCGAATCAAATCCCAACCCTCCAGAAAAAACTCAAATTCCCAGTCAGTCGAAATCAACCGTGAACCCCAACCAAGAGGTGACCTCAATGAGAGTAGTTTTCAAGGCCAAATAAAAAAAAGGATAAAGTCTTCGTCTTGATCAATCCCTTGTGGGATGCGGCACGCATTCTACTTCCATTCAGAATCGTAGTGGCTTATTGAATGCGATGTGGCCTATACAATGACTTGCGGTGGCCAGCCGATGTACAAGTCAGTGTTTTATCCTCCCAGATGAATCTGGTACCAATTTACCGCCCCCGGAGAAGGCTTGGTTGACTGGGCGGGTTGTCGACTCGCGTGATTCGAAACCGGCGTCTGCGCGAGTTGTACGCGCGCCACTTCACTTACATCACCTCCGCCTCTTCAAGGCCAAATAGTAGCCTAAAATGGGGAAGGGGCTGGGAAGTGGCTATTCATAATCTGCATGCAACCTGAACTAACTTTTAGGCATACGATACCTACCCAGTGTCTGTCACCTACACTATCCACTCAATCTGCCCCATTCAAGCAGTCATTCACGAGCACGAACTGACCATAAGTTCTAATGATCAATATGGCCGTAGCGGCGCTGACGCGACGGAATGGCGGTGAGGGGGGGGGACTTCGGCCGCGATCCATGTCTGTTTATGAGCGGCCCGGTATATAGAGCCACACACGACCAGAGTCGCCAAGGGATAGCCTGGCAGCAGAGAAGACGTGATCCAAAGGAAATCCGCCAAACCCAAGCCTGTTTGGAGATGGGAAATATCATCGCTCCTGAGTGCTTCTCCCTCCTCCCCCCCCTACGTGATCACCAGCGATCAACCTGCCTTGAGTCACGCTACCCGGTGTCAAAAAATGACGGCTCTTCTTTTCACCATCTAAGAGACACGCTCTTGGAAATTCTGGACTGGAAACATGTAGTTGACCGAGAATCATCTCGCTGAAAATTCGCCGCGAGAAAAGTATGACCCTCCTCCTATATGAATACTCCATTCGCTTTGAATGAAAACAATTGATTCCGGTGCCAAAACACTTCAGATTGCCAGATCTCCCCAGGGGTAGCCTGATCCCTTAACCCACCATCCCATCCGCTCTGCACGAAAACGGCAAAGGATGTGGTGCTTCAGCCAACGCCCGGTGCTGGTGCAGCTAACACTGTTCTCGCGCCCAAACATGCTAAGTCTTGTTCGCTGAAACCCGCTCTATACCTATACCAAACCCGTGGGGCGTACCCGGATTTGGCACGACATCAGCCCGAATTCCACTAATCGTTGTCGCGTGCCCTTTCAACAGTTCGTGGAGAACAGGATGGTGTGGAGCTCAGCGCGGCCTTCTCAAGCGTTTCAACACTCGTAACCAGCAATACTAAATACCCAAGATATTTTACAGATTGTCTAAATTTAGATACATGGGTCCCAAGGGGTAAGAAGTACCGGAACGGAATCGTAACTTGTCGCGCCGTCGCGCGCGTCGTATCGTAGGGCGGTGCGTGAGGCAGCGTTCAGACTTCGCGACGGCAGCGCTTCGGTCGCGCGTTCGACGCGATCAATGCGCATGCTTTCGACTGCATCGATCGCGTCGAACGCGCGACTTAAGCGCTGTCCGTCGCGAAGTCTGAACGCTGCCTGACAAATAATCGATGCAGCAGCGAACACATATAAACTCTAGCGGAGACAAGACCCAAACATCGAATTTTCGGATCCTCTAACGCTCAGATTCGACGATCAGGCAGGACAACTCGACCATGGAGCGCGGCGCGGCTCGCCACGCCCACAGCGTGGCACATCACGATTTTCTTGACACATATTAGCCGAAGACCACAACTGGTACTAAATAAGAACTCTCTGAGTATATGAAACTCTGAAATTCCAAAAAAGCGCACCATTTAATTGACAAAGGTTTATACCATAGGAGACAAATAACCTATCGAGGAAAAAAAAAAAAAGATTCATATAATTGAAGATATGGCACAAGAAGACCGCGTAGAAGATACAAAAGAAATCAAGACAATAAAATTAGTAATCTACCAGTACGCAGATGAAAAACAACGACGATTTCAATAGTTACGAGCACCACAAATTGATTAACCTTGAACAAATAGCAAAACCAGTATTTTTCCTACAAAATTAGCCTCGTATCAGAGAAAAAACAGTGATCGTTCATCAGAAAGTATCAACTAGTATGAAAAGGATAATTTACAGATTGATGCTTCTCAAGTATAAAGGCAAGTAAATGTTCGAATATTATAGAGCCGTAGACGTATTATAACTGAACCCGAAGACGAGAATGAGAGTATAAATTGTAAGAAGTGAGAGGGTAACGCATGACGTGAAACAGCTACTTTGCACTATAACTCCTCTAACGGCGCTGCTGTAATTGAAGAAGGGTGGGAGGGAGGTGATGGCGCGACTTAGCCTGTTTCTTCGCGCTGCGTTCAGACTTCGCGATGAGCGCGTAGTCGCGCTATCGTAGCGCCCCAATCTTACAGACGCTTCATAGTCGACGGATATCGATCGCCGCCGGGCGCTTGTGTTCTGGGAGAGTATAGGAGATCAGGAGGGTACCAAACAGTAGGCGTTAGTGTTTGGAGAGTACAAGATATTGGGGAGTCAGTACATGGTCTGATTCTCTCCTATTCTCATACTCTCCAAAAGTGCAGCACACAAACTGGTACTCTCCTATTCTCCTGTACTCTCCCAAACACCAGCAGCCGACGTCGACCGATACACGTCTACGGCGCGTTCCCGTTTCTTACACTGGAGCGCTATAGTAGCGCGACGACGCGCGTCATCGCGAAGTCTAAACGCACCTTTACAATCTGCGCTCTTCAAAGATATCTGAAAAAAGGAAGGGATCTCCTGCCGCGTAGCCCCCTTCAACTACAGTAGCGCCCTTCTAACCTTTACCACTTATGAAAAAAAAACACGCACGAACAAATAGGTGCCTATACTATTTTACAGTTGATTGGAAGTGCAAGACACAAAAATTGCAAATTTCAGAGTCAGAAATAGGAATAACAAGACTAACGAGCATGCAAATAAATAAGTGCTTCTTCTGAATTTCATGGAAAGTAAACCCATGATATTACAACTAGAAATGGTTATAAATGACAAAGGAGAAAATACAAAACACACCACTGCTTACGGAAGCAACTTTTATTCAGTACTGTCCCATTCTGGACTATCACCAAACTCCAAACGACGAGGCGTCAAAAGTGGAGTTTTCGCCGTCGGGCTAATCACTGATTCTGTCGTTTCAACCTCGGTACACACCTGAATCTTTTTGTAAAAACAAAACAAAAACAAAGAAACCTGGAAACAACAACAAACAAGATGTAAAGTTATGATCCCTGAAGTGCTTAGCGACGTGTCAGTGACACGTGGGGTCTTAGCACGGCGCCGGCCTGTCTTCCTCCGATCGTTGCGTCTTTGGGTGTTCAATGAGTGGTGGAAGTAAGGCTGGCGCCAGGCTTCAAAACGCTGCTGACACGCCCGACTAAATTTAGTGATAAAAACATAAATCTAGCAGGAAGACATTAGCGGAAAGATCATTTTCACAACTCGTAGCGAGGAGCGGAAGTGCTGTAAGGCAAGGAGCACTACTCACGCGCGGATCGTGTACTAAGACCTCAGGTTTAGCATTCAGAAAGGAGTATGCTGTTTGGAATAAAAACGCTCTCTCGCTTCTCAACATTTCAATTCGATCTATCTTGTTACCTCCTTCTCGCTCTATCGAAGGGGCGACCAAAATAAAAAAAAAATGCATTAAGAGCTATCAAAAGGAATGTGCGCCAACTTTTACAGGTTACCGCACGAGGTTCGGAATGAATCACTAACGCAAGGATCAAGCGGAGAAGGAAAAGCCATGCAGAAGAAAATTATAATAACAAACGTGAACGGACCTATTTGAAACAAGTAGTTTCGCGCATAAAAGCAAATGGAGCACATAATGGCCATCGTCCACAACCCACTCCAAGGCCCCTTAGCAGGAACGTGGGAGTGACACAAGTAAACGCAAATAGGAAAATGGGAAACACGCTCGGAGAATTAGCCTGACATTTCAATAACTGATCCAACAGGGTGTTTCAGAGATGGGTTTTGTCGCGGTATCAGCTCGTTTCAAGCAGTCGTTTGATGAGGAGAGTAAGGACTGATGGGAAAGGAGCTCGCGCCGCTTCACATCCATGCCACTCTGACACTTCCCGTGGATTCAGCTGCTCTGGACTATGACCTTCCCGTACATGGACAAAAGTCTCAGGTGAATGTTTGGGAGACAGTATGAAATTCCTAATGCATATTTCAAAAAACTCAGAAGACACCAGAAGTCTCGAAGATTTTCCAAACTAATTATCTTGCAATACTCCTTAAGACACATTTGCGTGTGTGTCCGATCATAAGTTCACAGAACCTTACAGCTTTTGAAAATGTCTCTCTACTCATTATGAAACCTTACCTGCATGAGCGAGCGATGTCGGTACAGCGATACCTTTCGAAGTGGCTGTCGTACAATAAGTTGGCTTGTTGACTTTGACTTGTGCCACTTATATTTGATTAAAGAAGACACATGTGCCGAGTCTGTCATGGGGACATATCCACATGGAACGCATTCCGACTAAAACGAATTATTAATTGCAGACTACAGATTTACAAGAGCAACGAAATGCGAAAAAAGGTGCAAAGCAAACTGGGGAAAAAAGGCAAAGAATGGGGGTGGAACTTGCAGGAAGGGAGCGGAGAGTCATTCCTGAAGAGGAGTGGCTACCGATACTGGGAGCTTGGAGAGACACGACCCTCTAGCAGCTCCTGATACCTGCTTCGCA